CTGATACCTCTGGACCCTGAGGACCTCTGCACTCACAGGCACATACCACATGCACACACACACACACCACATGAAGACACACACACACTTACACACACCACATGCAGACACACACCACATGCAGACACACACACACCTACACACACCACATGCAGACACACACACACCTACACACACCACATGCACACACACACCTACAAACACCACATGCAGACACACACACCTACACATACTACATGCAGACACACGCACCTACACAAAGTTAGAAGTAATTTTTAAGATCTTAAAAAACACAAAACAGGTGGGAGGCTGGGAGACAGGTAAAGTGCTTGCTCTATAAGCAGAGGGCAGGGCCTCCCAGAAGTCAAAAGAGCCAGGTAGGCATGGTATACTATTTATAACCCTAGCTATGACCGGAAGAGATGGGATCTCCAGAGCAAGCCGGCTAGCCAGGCTAGCTCAAATGGCAAACTTGGGGATCAATTAAGAGACATCAACATGGGCCAGAGAGATGGCTCAGCAGTTAAGGGCATTTGGCTACCCTTCCAGAAGATCCAGGTTCAATTCCCAGCACCCACACGATGGCTAATGACTGTCTATAACTCCAGTTCCAGGGAATTCTGACTTCCCCCAGCACTGATTGCACACGGTACACAGACATACATGTGGGCAAACAATCATAGACATGAAATAAAAGTAAATATTTTCAAAAAAGAGACATTAATCTCAGACCTCCACATGCACAACTAATACACACTTGAACACTCATACCATACACACATAGCAAGCAAAAAAATGGGATCAAGAAAAAATACAAAATAAGATGGTAAGTTTTTAATATACTATATGGGTAATTTAAAAAACTGTAAATGTCCTAAACATTTCAATTAAAAGCCAAGCAAAAAAAAAAAAAACAAAAACAAAAACAGCCAAGCATTTCAGCTGGGTATGGTGGGTCAGACATGTAATTCCAGCATTTAGGAGGCAGAAGCAAAAAAAACTTACCAAAGTATGAGGAAAAGAGAATTATATAAGGAAACCCTATCTCAAAAACACTAAGAGATTCGGAGAATTTGCAGCTCTTCCAGAGGTCCTGAGTTCAATTCCCAGCCACCACATGGTGGCTCACAACCATTTGTAATGAGATCTGGTGCCCTTTCTGGCATGTAAGCATACACGCAGAACACTGTATACATAATAAATAAATAAAATATTTAAAAAACCACAAAAATGCCGGGCGGTGGTGGCGCACGCCTTTAATCCCAGCACTCGGGAGGCAGAGGCAGGCGGATCTCTGTGAGTTCGAGACCAGCCTGGTCTACAGAGCTAGTTCCAGGACAGGCTCCAAAGCCACAGAGAAACCCTGTCTCGAAAAACCAAAAAAAAAAAAAAAAAAAAACCCACAAAAATGACTTTCTCTACTTTAAAATAAGCTAAGACTTTTTTCTTTATATATATCATATATGTAAACTATTATTTTATTTTATGTATATGAGTGTTTTGCCTGTATGCATGTCTGTGAACCTTGTATGTGCCTGGTGCCTGGGAAGGTCAGAAGGGGCTATCTGATGCCCATTTACATACACAATAAATAAAAAGATAATAAACATAAGAAAAATTTAAAAATAAACAAAGTGAGGAAAACAAATATGTGGTCTTAAAACTTTAAATTTATTTTTATTTTATGTACAGTGGCATTTTGTCTGCATGTAGTCTGTGAGATAGTGTCAGATCCCCTGGAACTGGAGCCACAAGTAATTATAAGCTGCCTTGTGGGTGCTGGGAATGGAACGCATGTCCTTTGGAAGAGGATGTTGCGGTTTAAGTAAAATGGCACTGTTCCCTGAGTGGCCCATGAGCCACAAGGGGCAGTGGATCCCAGGCAGGGAGCCGTGTGGTGGGTGAGAGACCTAGACGGACAGGCACGCCATGCAGAGTGAGATTGGATATTTATTTAGTGGGTTATAGAAGGGATGGGGGAAGGGGAGAGGAAGAGAAGCAGAGAGAGAGAGAGGAGAGAGAGAGAAAGAGAGGAGAGAGAGATAGAAGGAGCCACAGCAGCAGCTACCTCTTTGGGAGAGAGAAGGAAAAGTAAGGACTCAGGCTAGAAGCAGAAGGAAAATCCACCTGCCTCAGCAGATTGGGAAGAGAGTTGGCAGGGCTTGTCTCTTAAAGAGACAGGACAGACCATTACAGAGGAGCCATTTCTCCAGACCCCCCAAAAATGTAAATTTAAAGAAATATTAATACACTAGATAAAATCCTAGTAAGGTGAGAAAAAAAAGAGAAAATATGGAAGACAAGAGGAGAAAGGGAAGAGGGAGACTCCCAGTGATGATCCAGCAGATATAAGGAAGACAGTAGGTAAGGCTGGAGAGATGACTTACTGGGGAAGAGTGTTTGCTGCCCAAGCATGAGAATCTGGGTTCAGATGTAGCACCTATGTAGAGATCCATGATGTGGAATTTTACTGTAACTAGGCAAAGATGTGCTATTTGTGTATGCTGCGTTTGTTTAACAATGTAAGTAAAGATGTGTTGCTGTTTCTCCTTGCCTGCCTAAGGCACCTGACTGATCTCCATGTCATGAATTGGGAGCTGGTTGGTGGCCCAAGAGAAAGCCTGCTACAGATCCAGGTTGTAGTAAAGAACCACATTAAAGCAGGAAGTGGAGACACGAAGACTGCTTGGGCTTACTGACTGCCTGTTTAGCTCCAGGTACAGCGAGGGTCTAAGGGTAAGGCAGAAGGGAGAACAGTGCACCCTGTTTGCACACTTGGTTTCCATGCGAACACATGTAAGACACACTCTCACACACAGGTAGTCCATAACGGAAACAGCAGTATGTATCTGTAATCCCAGTGCTCAGAAAATAGGGGCAGGAGGACTGCCCCTGAGCTGAGGCCAGCCTGGCTCTCGTAGTGAGTTCCAGATCAGCCTACAGAAGAAGACCTTGTGAATCAGGATGGTTGATCAGTCTAAGATGCTTCATTCAGAGAGAGACCTGTCCTGGAACTAGCTCTGTAGACCAAGCTGGCCTTGAACTCACAGAGATCCACCTGCCTCTGCCTCCCAAGTGCTGAGATTACTATTTATTTTCCTTGTCTTTAATAAGATTAATCAAGTATCTTTTATTTTTACACTTCCTCCCCACTATATTTTAGCTTGTATTTATTATTACTGATAATTTTTTTAAATATTTATTTATTATGTATACAATATTCTGTCTGTGTGTATGCCTGCTGGCCAGAAGAGGGCACCAGACCTCATTACAGATGGTTGTTAGCCACCATGTGGTTGCTGGGAATTGAACTCAGGACCTTTGGAAGAGCAGGCAATGCTCTTAACCTCTGAGCCATCTCTCCAGCCCCATTACTGATAATTTTTGAAGTGCTAAGGATCAAACTGGGGACCTTGCTAGGCAAGCAATTTACCACTAAGTCACACTTTCCAAGTTTTTTAGTGTTCCTTTTAATGTCTCTACATTTAAATTTTAAAATTTATCTGTATGTGTGTGTCCATGAGTATGCACATTTGCCTGAAAGTAACCAAGGAGGCCAGAAGAGGGTCTTAGAGCCCTGTAGCTGGAGTAACAGGCAGTTGGGAGCCTCCTGATGTGGGTGCTGGGAACCAAATTCAGATCTTTTGCAAGAGCAGCAAAAGCTCTTAACCACTGCACCATCTCTCCAGTCTGCATCTACATTTGTGAAGACAGGATCTAACCTAAAGGACTTTCAGAAGATGGCTTCTATATCTGGGGTGCACTCAGCAGTGAAATGGTTCAGCGCACTCTCAGGACATATACAACCCGTAAGATAATAGCAACAACAGTCACCCCAACAGCACCAATCAGCAACACTATGTCTGGCCTTATAATATGCTAGGTATTGTTTAATAATGAAATAAATTTATATTCATGGCAGAGTCTCACACTGTAGTTTAGGCAGGCCTCAAACTGGTAGTAATCCTCCGGCCTCACCCTCACAAGTGCTGGGATTACACCTGGCTTCTAATCACTTTATAAACATATTACAAGTGCATATATGTATAAAAACAACATATATGTGTATACAGTAACAATATGTTTACATGTATAAATTAATATATGTATATAAAATAACACATATATGTATAAAAGAATGTGTATAAATAACATATATGTATATGTGTATAAAATAACATATACATATAAAAAAAATATATTCTTCTGCTTTTGAGATAAGATCTCCCTGATAGCCCTGACTGACCTTGAACTCACAGAGATCTTCCTGCCTCTGCCTCTGGAATTCCAGGATTAAAGATGTGCATCACCACACCTGGTTACTTATACATATTTTCTAATATGAACATACGTGAACAGGCTCAGCCCCTTTTATTCCTCCAGATTCCATTTGAATCCCACTCTCAACTTCTTGGATTCTCGTCAGACCATCCCTCACTCTCCCCACTCCTCCCCTCTTCAAACCCAGGCAGCTTAGCTCCCTAGTCCCTGGCTTCCTTCTTGATGTCTATCTTTCTACTCAAATCTACTTTATTTGGTGGCTGCTTGAGGAAAGTGTGACTTCCAGAATGGACCACAGAGGTTCCATCTTTACCTCTGCCACAGCTCACCAGCGCCTTCAACCCCTACCTCAAGTGTGTATTTCTGCAAGTCCCAAGACAGTGAAGATCTTCAATAACTATTGAATGGCGGACGGGGAAAGATGAAGAATGAATGGATGCTTTCCTAACTATAGAAACACAAACACCCAGGTGAGCCTGTGGACCCGACAGCAGTCCCTCCCCCCGCCCCCCACCCCCGCAGTCACTCGCACACTGCCTTGTTCTCCCCAATTCCATCCATGGAGGCTGAGGTCAAACCCTGGTTATCTTTGTTATCCTCAACTGGCCCTCTGCAGGGGACATAGAATCGCTGCATTCTCTTGCTCACGTCTTGCTCCCTGCTTGGTATGTGATGATGGGGTGAGGTGGAGTAGGAAGGGGTTTGCTTCCTTCCTTTACCTTGCTCTCTTTCCCAGCCTCCTGATGAAGCTCCTCCATAGTGCTCCTTAGCTGGGACACACAAGAATCCTACAGCTGGCCACGGCCTGCGCGTTCCAAGAGCTTGGATGAGGGGACCCCGTAGGGATCCTATCAGCTGACATTGACACACGCCGCCACCTCTCTGGGTGGTTCCTCTAGCCTGCAGCGCTCCTTCTGATTGGGCACTAGGTTTGCCACGGGAGCTGCTATTGGCTGGGAGGCCTGTCGATCATGTGCCAACTTTTAAGCGGCACCAGAGAGCCGGTCCAGGATAGGCCAGAGCCTGAGGAGCTCTAAGGGTCACAGGGGTCACGTGCCGGTCCCGCGGGGGTTGGGGGGACCCTACAATCGAGGCGGTTCCGGGCCCAGTCTCCATCCGGGCTCAGGCTGACGCTCACAGTTGCACATGCGCACTAGAGCATCTTGGCGCCACCAGGCGGTGGGCGGGGCGAGGAGTCCGGAAGGGGGTGAGGGTGGAAGGGAGGGTTGGGTAGGGGGGAATGGGGAACCCGAGTGAGTCAGGGGGGCTAGGGCTAAGGGCAGGCAGCAATGTCTGTGGAGAAAGAGATTCCATTCAAGTTGCCACACCCGGGCCCGAAAGTACGGGGTAAGCAGTTTAGGAAGCCGCGGGGCCGTAGTAAGGCCCGGGCCCGGGGCGCCCGGAGCAAGGCCCACGTCCACAAGCGATCGCAACCCGAGCCGTACTGCAAAAAGGCGCCAGTGCGAGAGAAAGAGAAGGTGTGGACCCCCTGGAATGGACTCATCGTGATTGGGAAGAGAGTGGAACTCTTGGACAGAAACCTGCAAAAGTCTAAAGTGTGGGACGCAAAGTTGGAATCTGAGAACTGGAGGCTGGAAGTCGTGGGGAAGAAGATCTCGAAAGAGAGATCGGGCCTGCATCAGGAGAAGGTGGACACGAAGCTCTTGAACAGTGTAGAAAGGACGTCACAGGCTCCAGCAAAGTTGGAGGATAATATCCCAGAGGAGATTTGGGGACAGCAAGAGGACAGACCCAAAGCTGGAGCTGTATCTAAGAGTGCAGAGATGACAGCAGAGCCTGAAGAAAGATTGAAATCTAAGGACAAGATGAGAACCAGTGGAGGGAACTTGAGATCCAGAGGGGATCAGCTGAGGCAGAATGAGGAAGTGGAGTCAAGTGGAGAGAACTTGGTGCAAAAGAGAGAGAAACGGGTGTCCGTGGGAGAGAAGGTGGTGGGCAGGGGAGAGAAGCGGTCTGTTGTAGAGAAAATGGACAGTAGAGAGAAACGGGGGTCCATCAGAGAGAAGGTGTCAGACAGTGGCGAGAAGCGGGGGTCCATCAGAGAGAAGGTGTCAGACAGTGGCGAGAAACGGGGGTCCATCAGAAAGAAGGTGTCTGACAGTGGCGAGAAACTGGGGTCCATCAGAGAGAAGGTGTCGGACAGTGGCGAGAAACGGGGGTCCATCAGAAAAAAGACATCCGACAGTGGAGAGAAACGGGGGTCCATCAGAGAAAAGGTGTCGGATAGTGGAGAGAAACGAGGGTCCATAAGAGAAAAGGTGTCAGACAGTGGAGAGAAACGAGGGTCCATCAGAAAAAAGGCATCCGACAGTGGAGAGAAGCGGGGATCCATCCGAGAGAAGACATCCGACAGTGGAGAGAGGCGGGGGTCCTCCAAAGAGAAGGTGAAGTCAAGTGATGAGAAGCTGAGATTGAAATCAAGTTCCAGTAGAGGAGAGAAGCTGAGGACTGGTGATAAGAACCTGAGATCCACGGAAGATAAACTGGAGTCAAATACTGAGGAAGCACAGTCCGATGAGATGGAACTGGAAGAGCATTCAAGACCGGGAAATACAAGCGAAGAGGACCTTGAGAGAGTGATAAATATTACTGGTGATGAAAGTGCGATGGAAGAGATGAGTCTGGAACTACAAATTCCTGAAAGTCCGGAAGGCGGAGATGAACAAGAAGGAGCAGAGAAAGCGGGGGAGAGTGACAGTTTTGTCTTGGATAACGTGGAAGATCCCGCCTATGAATCTGTTCCTATGGAAGAGAAAGATGAGATTAGAGAAGGCTCCAGGGAATCAGGTGGATGAAGACTTGAAGACAAAGGAGATTGGAGAAGTATTGAAAGTCAGAGAGGAGCTCGAGCAAAGCCAAGCTCTGCTGACCCCGAAGGGTAGATATGAGTGAGCTTGGGACTGGAGGAGAGTTACTGGGCATGAGGCCAAGCCAGTATCGACAGAGTGAAGAGTGGAAAAGAGGGAGTTGGGATCATTTTAAGGAGAAAAATATTTGGGAATGAATGCTAAGAAGAAGGAAACTGGCCGCTATGTTCTTGAAGAACTGTTTGAGGGCGGACTGGATTTTGGCAGACATGTACATGGCTGGGGTGTGAGATGAAGGAGAATATCAGAAAGAACAGATCATTGCAGGGCAAAGGGTGGGCACTGAGGATTGTGGGAGAAGCAGCCAACAGGTGAGGTGTCTGAAACTGACACCAAAAACTGAGGGGCTCCAGCAGGAATGAAACGGGAAGAGGAGTGGTCGAATAAAACGGTGGACCAGTGACTAGGTTTGTTGATATTTTTCTACAGTCCTTGCAACCAGTTTTCCCATCTGTTTTGACAATCCTCACCAGTCACTAATCCATCTTCACAGGTTCGCTCCACCCTCGCGTCTGATTTGAACTGCACATATTCAATGTGAAGGTGAATTCTATTTCTACTTGAATTGTCTCCATTCACTTTTTCTTTTTTTTTTTTCTGGTTTTTCAAGACAGGGTTTCTCTGTGTAGCCCTGGCTGCCCTGGAACTAGCTCTGTAGACCAGGCTGGCCTCAAACTCAGAGATTTGCCTGCCTTTGCCTCCCGAGTGCTGGGATTGAAGACATGTGCCACCACTGCCTAGCCAATCTTTCACTTTTAGTTATTTATCTGATCACGTGATTGTGTGTGTGTGTGTGTGTGTGTGTGAGAGAGAGAGAGAGAGAGAGAGAGAGAGAGAGAGAGAGAGGAGAGAGTCTAGATATGTACCCCTAGCTGGCCTGGAACTATATGTAGACCAGGCTGTCCAGGCTGGCCTCTCAAATACAAAGATCTACCTGTCTTTGCCTTCCAAGTACTAGAATATTTGATTCTTTTTTGAAACAGTGGCTTCCTTTTAGCTCAGGCTCCTTCTGAATGTAGGTAATACAGTTTTGTAGCACTTGATTTAAGCCTTTTATATCTTATCCATAATTTACCCTCTTCCCAAGGAACAGAAAAGGCCTCAGGTATCTATTGTCAAGACTCTGTTATTGGGCTGGAGAGTTGGCTTAGTGGGTAAGGGCACTTAGTGTTGTTGCAAAAGACTTGGGTCTATTCCCAGCACCCACATGGAGGCTCACCACCTCCTCAGGCACCAAGCACAGATATGGTGCACAGACGAAGACACATTAGAAAATAGAAGACTCCATTGTCAAGATAGATGCTGATGTCCCAACAGTGGAGGTAGGAGAGTGGATAGGAGAGGAAGAATCTTCCACCAAGCCTAGCGTGGTGGCGCACACCTTTAATTCCAGAACTCAGGAGGCAAATCTCTTAGTTCTAGGCCAGCCTGGTCTACAGAGTGAGTTCTAGGACAGCCAGAACTACACAGAGAGACCCTGTCTCTTAAACTTTTTTTCACCCCCATTTCTCCTCTGGTTATTTTTTAAAAGCACAATTTCCAAATATAAATTGCATATTATAAGTGTTTTGTTTTTTTTTTGTTGTTGTTGTTGTTTTTTTTGGTTTTTCGAGACAGGGTTTCTCTGTGGTTTTTTTGAAGCCTGTCCTGGAACTAGCTCTTGTAGACCAGGCTGGTCTCGAACTCACAGAGATCCGCCTGCCTCTGCCTCCCAAGTGCTGGGATTAAAGGTGTGCGCCACCACCCCCCGGCCATATTATAAGTGTTCTAAGCTTATGATAACCTCATGTCTTTTGTCATTGTTGTTATTGATGTTGGTGTGAGTGTGTGCATGTGTGTGTGTGTGTATGTGTAGATGTAGCAGCCCAGGCTGACTTCAAATTCTGGAACTCAATACGTGGCCAACAATGACCTTGAATTTCTGATCTTCCTTCCTCCACCTCCGGAGGGTTGCAGGTGTGAGCCACCATGCTCCACTTATGTGGTGCTGAGGATGGAACCTGGGACTGTGGTTCATGTTAGGCAAGCACTCTGCCAACCCTGATACATCTCCAGCCTTCATTTGTGCTTTGAGAAGGTCTCAGTCTGTGCCCAGGTTTGCCTACAATTCACAATGCAGCCTAGGCTGGCCTCAAACACCAGCACTACTCCTGCCCCAGCTGGGATTACAGATGTGAGCCTCCACTCTTGGCTGCCTTATGCGTTTCCTTTAAGTTTCCTGAGTATAGATTCTTGCCTAAATTTTCCCACAAGACTCCAAAAGGTTTTTAAGCCCTTTGCTGTATTTTTGTGCACATGGTTAACCCTAAGATAATTTCCCCATTCCTCCTCTCCTTAATTTGGTCAGTTGCATCATCTGATAGCTTCCAGAGAAAGTGACTATTTGTGCCAGTCTCCTCCTCCTCCTCCTCCTCCTCCTCCTCCTCCTTCTTCTCTCTCTCTCTCTCTCTCTCTCTTGCTCTCGCTCTTTCTCGCTCTCATCTTACTGTGCTCAGTCTGTCTCAAACTCCCAATCTTCCTGATTTAGCCTCCTGAGTGTTAGAGTTACAAACCACACCATGCCTGTAACAGTTGTTAATTACCGGTCTTTCCGCTCCAGCATGTAAGCTAGAGAACAGACATGTGTGTCTGTGTGTCTTTGGAGGTTGCCCTAGGCCTAGCACATAGTATACATTAAGCATATAGTATACATTAAGCATGTATTCATGGAATCGGGCTGAGACATTCGTTGACTTTACCCATTTCAGTACCATCTAACATCAAGGGATAAATCTTTGCAATAATTTCCCTTCTCAGACTGTCTCTTGGCTCTGTGTGTTCCATACCTGAACCCGAGCTTTGTCTGGGCACAGGACATAAACTCAGCAACTTGAGGATGTGCTTTGTTTTTCTCCAGCATGGCTCCCAGGACACCAGATCTATTTTTATCCAGTTGCACAGCAAGCCATTCTATGGCTATGGCCTGTTTTCTGCTCTCTGTCCCTGATATTTCTGCCTTTCCCTTTGTCCGAAGCTAATTAGTTGCTCTTTCCTCCATTTTCTGAGAACTCTGATCCCGTAGTTGGACAATAAAGTGGAGGTGGTGGGACGGGTGGAGCCGTAAAGATAAGCTTCCGATGACAAGCCTGTGAACAGGATCTTTTTTTTCCACTTTCTTCTTTTTATTTTTTTTCATTTTTTTATTGATTTATTAAAGATTTCTGTCTCTTCCCCGCCACCGCCTCCCATTTCCCTCCCCCTCCCCCAATCAAGTCCCCCTCCCTCGTCAGTCCAAAGAGCAATCAGGGTTCCCTGCCCTGTGGGAAGTCCAAGGACCGCCCACCTCCATCCAGGTCTAGTAGGGTGAGCATCCAAACTGCCTAGGCTCCCACAAAGCCAGTACGTGCAGTAGGATCAAAAACCCATTGCCATTGTTCTTGAGTTCTCAGTAGTCCTCATTGTCCGCTATGTTCAGCCAGTCTGGTTTTATCCCAGGCTTTTTCAGACCCAGGCCAGCTGGCCTTGGTGAGTTCCCAGTAGAACATCCCCATTGTCTCAGTGTGTGGGTGCACCCCTCGCAGTCCTGAGTTCCTTGCTCCTGCTCTCTCTCTTTCTGCTCCTGATTTGGACCTTGAGATTTCTGTCCGATGCTCCAATGTGGGTCTCTGTCTCTGTCTCCTTTCATCGCCTGATGAAGGTTAATATTCAGGAGGATGCCTATTTGTTTTTCTTTGGGTTCTCCTTCTTATTTAGCTTCTCTAGGATCACTAATTATAGGCTCAATGTCCTTTATTTATGGCTAGAAACCAAATATGAGTGAGTACATCCCATGTTCCTCTCTTTGGATCTGGCTTACCTCACTCAGGATAGTGTTTTCTATTTCCATCCATTTGCATGCAAAATTCAAAAAGTCCTTGTTTTTTACTGCTGAGTAGTACTCTAATATGTATATATTCCATACTTTCTTCATCCATTCTTCCATTGAAGGGCATCTCGGTTGTTTCCAGGTTCTGGCTATTACAAACAATGCTGCTATGAACATTGTTGAGCATATACTTTTGTTGTATGATAAGGCATCTCTTGGGTATATTCCCAAGAGTGGTATTGCTGGGTCCAGGGGTAGGTTGATCCCGAATTTCCTGAGAAACCACCACACTGCTTTCCAAAGTGGTTGCTCAAGTTTGCATTCCCACCAGCAATGGATGAGTGTACCCCTTTCTCCACAACTTCTCCAGCAAAGGCTATCATTGGTGTTTTTTATTTTAGCCATTCTGACAGGTGTAAGATGGTATCTTAAAGTTGTCTTGATTTGCATCTCCCTGATCGCTAAGGAAGTTGAGCATGACCTTAAGTGTCTTTTGGCCATTTGAACTTTTGGCCAATTGTTGAGAATTCTCTGTTCAGCTCAGTGCCCCATTTTATAATTGGGTTGATTAGCCTTTTATGGTCTAGTTTCTTGAGTTCTTTATATATTTTGGAGATCAGACCTTTGTCTGTTGCGGGGTTGGTGAAGATCTTCTCCCAGTCAGTGGGTTGCCTTTTCAATCTCAGGAGGTTCCATTTATTCAATGAGGCCCTTAATGTTTGTGCTGCTGGGGTTATACATAGGAAGTGGTCTCCTGTGCCCATATGTTGTAGAGTACTTTCCACTTTCTCTTCTATCAGGTTCAGTGTGTTAGGACTGATATTGAGGTCTTTAATCCATTTGGACTTGAGTTTTGTGCATGGTGATAGATATGGATCTATTTTCATTCTTCTACAGATTGACATCCAGTTTTGCCAGAACAATTTGTTGAAGATGCTCTCTTTTTTCCATTGTATACTTGTAGCTCCTTTATTGAAAATCAGGTGTTCATAGGTTTGTGGGTTAAAGTCAGGGTCTTCTATTCGATTCCATTGGTTGACTTCTCTGTTTTTATGCCAATACCAAGCTGTTTTCAATACTGTAGCTCTGTAATAGAGTTTGAAGTCAGGGATGGTAATGTCTCCAGTCGATCCTTTATTGTATAAGATTGTTTTGGCTATTCTGGGTTTTTTGTTTTTCCATATAAAGTTGATTATTGTCTTCTCCAGATCTGTGAAGAATTTTGATGGGATTTTGATGGGGATTGCATTGAATCTATAGATTGCTTTTGGTAGAATTGCCATTTTTACTATGTTGATCCTCCCAATCCAAGAGCAAGAGCAAGCACATTTTCTGGTGTCCTCTTCAATTTCTTTCTTCAAAGACTTAAAGTTCTTGTCAAATAGATCTTTCACTTCCTTGGTCAGAGGTACCCCAAGATATTTTATGCTATTTGTGGCTATTGTGAAAGGTGATGCTTCTCTGATTTCCCTCTCTGTATCCTTATCCTTAGTGTATAGGAAGGCAACTGATTTTTTGGAGTTGATCTTGTATCCTGCCACATTACTAAAGGTGTTTATCAGCTGTAAGAGTTCTTTGGTAGAATTTTTGGGGTCGCTTATGTATACTATCATATCATCTGCAAATAACGAAGGCTTGACTTCTTCCTTTCCAATACGAATATCCTTGATCCCCTTATGTTGTCTTATTGCTGTTGCTA